TGTTGAGCTTCTTGGCCGAGACACCCCATCTCAGAGGCCGTGGGAGGGGGGAGCCTGAGCCCCTGAGCATCCTGGCAGGTCTGAGGTGCTGCAGAGAGCCCAGGGTGCTGCAGAGAGCCCAGGGTGCTGCAGAGAGTCCAGGAGGCAAGACATTGATGGGCCCTGGGGGCTGGAAGGAGCACACTGTTCCCCTGACTGGCCATGCCTGGGTGGAGGTAGGCCCAGGACTCTTTGTGCTGGTTTTTCCTGCACGCACACCTGTGGTGGGGACGGTCAGACCAGTGAGAGACGGGCAGCAGTGAGGAATACAAGAGAGCAGCTGGGGTCTGCCCGCCCCCCCACTCTCTGTGTCCCTGTGTCTGTCTCACATGCCCTGTCTGTGGGAGAGGTGGGGGACGGCCCTCTGTCAGGACTGTACAGCTGACCCTGGAAGCAGAACTGCAGGTGGAGGGGTGCTGCCCTCGGCGAGGGAGCGGAACTGATGGCACAGTGGCTCTGGGGCTTTGGGTCCAGAAAGTGGCCAGCAGCTCTGCAGCAGGGGCTCATGGAATGGCGGGGACCCTGGCTGCTGCTTGCGGTGTGAGGCTGTGGTGGTGGACACTGGTCTGGGCAGCAGTGGACCCTCAGGGGCAGGTTTGGAGGGGTGCAAGGGGTACGACTTGAGGGAGCTGGGGCAGCATCAAGCTCAGAGGCCAGTGAGGACCATCGCAGGGAGGGCGTGAGGCGGAGTGAACAGGCTGCAGGGGGGCCGTGCCAGCAGACGTGGACCTGTGGGAAGGTAGGCCGAGGGGTGGCCGAGCTGGAGTGGTTCCCGGTCCTCTCTCCCTGGGTGGCACCAGCCAGTTCTTCCTTGTCTTGAAGCGGGTTGTCCAGATCTCCTGGCTGTGTGCCAGCTGTGTGCAGGTGGGCAGGGGCTGGCTCACAGGCACGTGCTGGTTTCCCAGGTGTGGACCCTTCCTGCCGGCCCAGCGGGGCTGTGGCGGGAGATGGGGGGAGATGCAGGTGGCACAGGGCGCAGGGCCGCTGCGCAGCGCAGAGGCTTCCAGGCCGCAGGGCGTAAGTGATGGCGAGGTGCGGTGAGCTAGCTGGGAAGAGGCGAGGTCTGCTGGCCTTGGGGTGCTCGGGGCCACGGGAGGGGTGCAGTCGTGCAGGCCGGTTCCACACGGCCACTCAGAGTCCTCAGTTTTCACGTCTCGGGCCTCCCCTTCTGCCCAGCAGCCACTGGAGTTGGGTGGGACCCGCCTGGCTAGTAACAGTCCTGGGAGAGAGGCCACCTCAGGTTTCACCCATATGCAGAAGCCACCCAGGGCAGGTGAGGGCCACTGGTGTCACTCTTTGAACCAGGGGGCCCCAAGGCCATTTTGGGCACCAGGCTTTCTGTGACACAAAATGATTTCTCCCTCAGGAGGCACAGACCAGCAGTGCTGTCCCCAAAGTGGCCTGAGGTGGCTGTGTGAGTCAGGGGTCTGGGGCACCCTGGCAGGGGCCTGTGTCTGCCTGCTGCCCGCCATCTCCTGACCCTCAGCTGAAGGAGCAGTCTGTGGCTCCCTGGAGGGGAGGTGGGGAGCAGATGGCCTAATGAGGCAGCTGCTAGGCCAGAAAAGGCAAAAAGGGAACCCAGTGGTGACCCAGGGGCCAGCAGCTGGCCTGGGGTGAAGGGAGAGGCTGGGGCCATTAGAACTTGAAAGCGGGGAGGGGCCGTGCGGGGAACCTGCGCTGGGGGCCACGGGGCCTGCCGTGGCGAGGGCTTCTGTGAGCGAGGGAAGGGCATCAGTGCCCTCCCAGCTCGAGGCAGGGGCCTTCGGGAAGGGCCTGGTGGAGACCCCTTCCTCCCGGGCCGAGGGCTCCTGGGAGCCCGCCTGGCTTTGCCTCCTCCCGAGTGTGGCTGAAGTGCAGCGCTGACAGGTGACTTGGGGTGCTGCCACAGGCATGTGACGCTGAAGAAGCTGATGGGGCGGCGTTTGGAACGGAGATGCCAAGCGCATCTCAGCCCCTTAGCTGTCATTGAAAGCAGAGGACAGCAGCTTCCTTCTCGACACAAGGGTTGAGTGTCCACATCCAGAACTGGCAGGATCTTCAGGATTGTGTCACGTGGCTTTAATCTGCTTCCTCAGTCTGGGGACTGAGATGCTGCAGGCCGCGTCAGTCGCGTAGAGGGGGCCCAGCCAGGCAAGTGAACTCTGTGGGTGGGACTGCTGATTTTTGTTGATTACTCTAGTGATGCATCGGCTTAGTCCTTGGAATGACCTTGGTGAACACAAATCGTCAGTGTACCGTCCAGTGGCTCAGCTCCAAGTGAACGCCACCCACGGAGCAGACAGAATGTGCAGAATGCCAGGGCACCCGGCCAGCTGCTCACGCCTGGCTGGGACACAGCTGCCATCTCTGCTGCCCGCCTCCTGCCTCTCGTCCCTGCCTGGCTCTCTCAGTCTCTCACGTGCTCCACGTGTCCCTCTGTCTCTGCATATCTCTGTCTCTCCCACATGTTCTGTCTCTCACACACGCTGCCTACCTCTGTCTGTCTGTCTCTCCCACATGCTCTCTGTCTCTCACAGACCCTGTCTGCCTCTGCCTCTCCCACGTGCTCTGCCTCTGTCTCTCTGTCTCTTGTCTGTCCCCCACATGCTTTGTGTCTCTGTCTGTCTCTCACTTGCTCTGTCTCTCTCTGTCTCCCACACGCTGCCCGCCTCTGTCTGTGTCTGCCACGTGCGCTCTTGCCCTCTGTCCAGCACCTTCTGCCGGGGAGGCGGCCCACTTCTCTCTGCCCGCTGCAGGTCCTAAGGTTTTTCTGGAACGTTCTATGGAAATAGCACCAGAAAAGCATCTTGGTGACCTGCTGTCTCCTGCTGCCTCGTCCCCTTGACCGGCCAATTGGTTCTCAGAGCTCCTTGTTCTCATTTTCCTGGGACTTTGGCCCAAGGGAGGGTCTGATTCTGAGCCATGTTTACCTGGAAGTCCTCACACTTGGTTGTCGGGACTTTCATGCTCCCAGCTCTGTCCCCTCCCCCCTGGTGGGCTACCTCTGAGTCACCAGTGGACGGAGTGGGCGGCCTTCGACTCAGCTCTCCCTGAGGCCTAGGCCCCAGCTCCCATGCCCACCAGGCCCTCTCCCTGGGTTGGTGGCACCTGCCAGTGTGGAACATTTGGTTGGTGGATTCGTCAGTGGCCCTTTGGTGACTTAAGCATGGAAGGAGCCACCGTAGACCTGGCTGGGAGTGGGGACGGGGGCAGAGGGGAGACTCAGCGCCCTCTGGAGAGGCTGGTGTGTTGGGAGCTAAGAGGCCCCTCGGGGTGGACAGCCAGCCACAGGGAGCCGAGAGCAGGTCGAGGCAGCCAGCAGGTGAGCTCTCAGGAAGGTGGTGGAATGGAGGGGTGCACACAGGAGGAGGGATGTCCCTGGAGATGGTGGTGGGGTGTCTTCCAGCAGAGGAGGCAGGGGAGGTGGGAGAATTGGCCAGCATGAGCCTCAAGCTCCTTGGGCATGGCCAGTTGTCCTGATTGCAGGTGGCCAGCCCTCCCCAAGTACAGAGCCCGGGGACAAGCCCTGAGCCTCCCAGTCAATTGAACACCTGAGCCCGTGGCCCCCAAGTCAGGGCTGATGGCATGTCTGGCCTTGACACGGGGACAGGAGGGCCCAAGCCTGGTGTGGGCAGGCAGGTGGGGTGCGGGAGGCCCCAGGCTCTCCCTGTGCTCTCGTAGGGCCAGCAGGAGAGCCAGGGCCCGCAGGTGGCTGAGCCCTTGCACACCGCCCCGCTGCGTGTGCTGCACCCTGCGCTCTTGCAGCGCCTGGCCCTGCCGGGGGCGGGGGGGGCTGCTGTTCTGTTCCCACACTGGGCACAGGGCCACGGACGGGAGACAGGCTCCGTGCTGAGTAGTTCCCTGGGCAGTTGGAATGGCTGGCTCTGTTCAGGGGCACAGTGGGCAGTGTGCGACCAGGGAGGGGACTCTCTGGCAAGGCCACCGTTGTAGGTCCACTGTGATGGTGCCCGCAGGACCAGCCTGGCAGAGGCAGGTGGGCAAGGTGGGTAGGCCTGGCAGTGATCCAGGTAATGGGCCGAAGAGTGTCCTCTGTCCTGTGTCTGCTGTCTACCACCTCCAGCAGCCGAGGGGCACCGAGGGAGTCCTACCTACTGAACGTGGGAGGCCAGGGAAGTGGGAAGAGCCAGGGAGGACTCCCTCTGCACCGCGTCCCACGGCATAGCCTGCCGCTGGCCCTGCAGACCCACAGGCCCCGCCGGCCCCGCAGACGTGGCTCCCCTTCCTCCCTCCACCAGAAAAGTGCTCTTACTTTTAGAAAAACGTAAGCTTTTAAACTCACAGGTTTTAATTTTCTTTAATAAACTGCTTCCTGCCCTGAGAGCGAATCTGCTCCCTCTGACCACAGAGACCCCCCACATGACCCCGCAGGCCAGGGTGTCTCAAGGGCCCAGCTGCCCTGGCTGAGTGACCCCATCAGGGCCAGTAGGAGACTCCCTGCCAGGGAGCAGTGAGGGTCAGGTGGCTGTGGTGGTTTGGGGAACCTCGGGCCAGCTGGCGCGTGAGGAGCAGGGATGGCCAACCAGGTGGCCTGGCAGGCTCGGGCCTCACTTCCTCAGAAGGGCGGAGGCTGGGAACCGAAAATCTGGCACCCAAGATGGCCTCACAGCCGTGGCTGGTCCCCGCACTATATTGGTTTCCTTGAATGATTTCGTTTGGTGGAATTTCCGGAATCATCCATGACCCCTTCAGTGAGTTCAGCAGGCTGGACAGGGGCTCTGCCTCAGCCTCTGGGCTGCTGCGCCCCATGAGTTTCCTAAACAAAGGACAAGAAGCCCCTGGCTGGGCACAGGGGGCCCGAGAGTGCCAGGGGGCAGCAGGTCATGGAGAGCCGTACCCACCGTCCCTGTTACTCCCCTCCTCCTCCTCCAGGCAGCTGCTCGGGCTGTCATCAGGGCCCTGATGAGGGGTCCCTGGGACCCCGACCCTGGGCTCTCACACCCGTCCTGCTGTCTGTCTTGCAGGTGTTGGGATTTGAGATCGACGCGGTGAACTCTGTCCAGTTTTCAAATCACACAGGTAAGGCCTCGTGCAGCTGTTGAGGTAGAGCTGAGCACAGGTAGGTGGCATGGGCCCCTGGGAGCCAAAGTGCCATCCTCCTATGGACGAGGGCCCCAAAATGTCACTCTATGCTGAGTCTCGGGGCAGGAGCTAGGGTTTCCTCATCCTTGATGTCTGTGGGTTTGGATCTCAGCTCTGCTGCTCTGGAGCTGTGTGACCTAGAAGAGGTGACAGGGCCTCTCTGTGCCTCAGTGTCCTCCTCTGAAAACCAGGGTGGTGATCCAAGGCCCAGCTTGGGGAGAGAGTTCCATGGGTGAGCCCCAGGGCTGGTGCCTGGCTAGGAGCACTGTCCTCCCCGCGGGGTCAGCCTTGCGGGAGGCCTGTTCACACCCTGTCCACCAGGGGGTCGCTGTGGGTGTGAGGAGGTCCCCTAAGTTCCAAGGTGAGCCTCTAGGCAGTCTGGATTTTTAACACCAGTGCCACAGAGCGGGGCGCGTGTGTGTGTGTGTGTGTGTGTGTGTGCTCATGGGGACTCCGAGGACTTGGTTGCTCTGAGCACTGAGGGGTTGTCTGGGGGGAGGGTGTGCACCCCACAGCCCCGACCTGTCCTGTGTGGCCTCAGGGGCTGTGTGTGTGGAGTCGGCCCCACTCGCCAGGGTGACATGCCCCTGACATTGTTCTGAGCCCAGCAGGACGCGCAGGGTGGGCTGCAGCCCTGTGTGCAGGAGGGCTCCGGGGTGCTCCCAGGAGGGGTGCCGGAGGGCTCCGGGGAGGTTAAGACCTGGATGGGGTATTAACCTTATAACCTGGGGTGGGTGCCAGCGTCAGATGGAGCCTCTGCTTGTCAGTAAGGGCTCTGAAGTCCAGAGACGTCCAGAAACCGATGGGCTCTGACTGCCGTTTTCCATTCCCATGGTTGCACATTAAGTGGCTGCCTTTGTGCCTGAGGACTGCAAGGAGCCCCTCAGCACGTCCGCCCATGAGCCCCTGCTGCCCCTGCCGATTCCAGCACTCCAGCAGGGCAGGGCCTCGGGCTGCAGATGTGGCCAGCTGCCCTCCAGGTCCTGCACCTTTCTCCATTTGTGGCTGGGTGGCCACCCTGGGATCTGAGGCAGAAAGGCCTGGGCTTGTCCCAGAGGAGGTAAAGACAGACCCCTGGGTGCTGGGCAGCTCTCCGGTGCAGGGTGAGGGCAAGGGCGCTGGGGCTTCTTTTCACTGGGGCCCACCCCATGGCTTGGGGAATCCCCTGAGTGGACAAGTGCCTGTGCCCCAGGCTCCCACCTCCAGACACCACGGGGGCTGGGCTGGCCCCAGGGGCCCCAGGTGGCCCACTTGGGGCTGGCTGTGCAGCCCCACTGGGGCTTCATGGTGCTTCTGTCTCAGGGCCACCAACTGAGGGGTGAGCCTTAGGGGAGGCCTCACTGCACCTCTGCCTCATGGGCTCCCTACCTGTTCCCACCCTTCGCCCCACCACACTGTTGCTCAGAAGCCAGGCTGGTGCCTCTCACCTGCCCCCAAGGTGTGTGGCCCCTGGGCAGCCATGGAGCTGGTGGATGAGTGACAGCTCCTACCTTGCAGCTCTGGGGCGGGTGGAGCACCCCATGCCGCCATCTCTGTCCTCGCGTCACAGGCTGCGCAGGCCGTGTCCTGGGTGGCGGACCTGCAGGTCCTTGACTGAATGACCTTCATTCCTGGAGTGCGGGGCTTCTCACCTGCTCCCCACCTCCCAGAAGCAGCCGCCAAGGCCCCTCGTGCAGGGGAGGCGTACTGCCATGTCAGTGACAGCCAGCATCCTGGGTCAGGGCTGTGCTGCCTCAGCCCAGCGAGGATCTGTCATGTGGTCCCATGTGGGACTGGCCATGCAGGCTCAGCCACGTGCTGTCTCTGCCCTGGGCCACAAAGCCCCATGGCCATGCAGGCTCAGCCACGTGCTGTCTCTGCCCTGGGCCACAAAGCCCCATGGCC